GTCGAGGCGCGGAGCTGCGGTGGCAGGAGCCGAGCAGAGGCCCCGCCGCGGTACAGCGTGAGCCGGAGCCGCTCTCCGGCCGCTGGAGCTGCGTGGGTGCCGCTGACCCCCCGAGGTCCCAGCACCTCCTCTTGTCCCGGGTGCAGAGGAATCCTGTCCCAGCCTGGCACTGCCCCTGCTCCCTCGCCACACCACACCGGGGGGCACCGGGGGCTCGGCACCGGCCAGCCCAGCTGGTTCCCGCACCTGCACGTGTGTCCGGGTCCCCCCCCACGCTCCGCTGTGTTCCCTGCTGCTCCCCAGGGCTTCGCTGCTAACCTGGCCCCCCCAGTGGCAGACGCTGCCGTGGGGCTGTAGGAAAGTCCGGATCCGTGCGTAGTTTTAACATATGCAAAGTCCGTTTGCCTGGTCTGACAGGGCCAGACCCCGCAGCGAGGGGTGGCTGTAGGGGTCCCACCGTCCCCCGGCATCACGGCACTCTCTCACCCGGCTGGCCAGGGCGGCCCAGGCACCGGCCACGCGGCCGCTGCAGCCCAAAGCCTGTCCCCTCCCGCTGGCCCACGCCGCAGCAGGCAGCGGGGCGCACCAGGACAATTCAAACACGTCTTACCTTTGGCAGCAGCTGCAGGGTCGCCCCCTTCCCCTTCGTCGGCCCCTGCCCCACCCCCCCCAGCATCTCTCATGACAGAGAAACTGAGGCGCTTTTAACAAATGTGAACGGTTCCAGGAACCACGCAGGAAGCGGTGCCGAGGGCAGCCAGGGCGCCTGCCGGTGCCCGCCCCGGCCCCATGTACATAGTGTACATAATACAGTACGTGTATTTTTAAAGTGATCATATTTATGTTAATAGAACCAGATGAAGTCTATATATAGAGATCTATATCTATTCTGAGAGATGCAGGGCTCTGCTAGCACCAGGCCGTGGGGACGGAGAGCCGAGACGGGCTGCTCCTGCACAAAACGGGCGCCCATCCGTCGCACCAAGCGCTCTGGAGCGGTGGTGGAGGCTGCAGCCTTCCCCGGCCACCGGCAGCCCCTGGGAAAGGGCCAGGTCGCAGGTTCATTCTCTTCTCAATTTAGCTTCTTAAGAGTTTTCAGGGAAAAGAAGTCACAGACTTTTCTGAACTTGTTTCACAGCAGATTTGAGCTTCCACTCGAAGTGCAGCCTGCTAAGAGTTGCCCTCTCCCGGCAGTGCTGGCTGCTTTGCTCCAGCCTGGCCCGAAGCGGCAGCGCTTTGTCCCCTGGCCAGAGCTGAGCCCCCGCGCTGAAGCACTCGCCTCCTCGGCCCCCCCAAACCGCTCCCCAATGCCGCCCAGCACCGCAGCAGGTGCCGCGTGACCCGCAGCCTCCCGGCCGGCGCAGACGGAGCGGGTGCTGCCGCAGCATCCCCACGGGTGGCCTGGCAGCAGCTGCCTCCTGCCCGGCACAGGCAGCCCTGGCTGGTCCCAGCGTCCAGCCCCCTGCCTGCCCGTCCCTCCTGCCCGCTGAGAGCGGCTGCAGCCCTCGGCTCCTGCCTGCCTGAGAGCAGGAAAGTCTCTGCACTGGACGACTCCAGTCCCTGCTCCTTCTGCAGAACTCCTCTACTCCAGGTCCAGGCTGAAGCTATTTGGGGCTGCTTGGATAAAAAGCAGTAGGTGGTTTGATATCTTTTTTTTTTTTTTTCGCTTTAAGATACTACTTGGACACACTCCCAGACCAAAACCAAGCCCCAGCTGCACATCTGTGCCTGCTCATACCTTGTTCCCACATTTCCATCACTCCCAAAGTGCCTCCCTTTTCTCCAGCAGCGGCCCTAGCCACAGCCAGACTTTCTGCCATGGTAGCTCAGCTACCTGCACAGCTGCATCGGTCTGTGTTGCAGGCTCTGGCGTGGAAGCTAGTCCCAAGGGCATGGGGAGCTCAGCATTTACAGGAGGTGAGTGTCAGGGTGAGCTGAGACCTGGTTTCAGCACAGGGGAGTGATGAATGCATTCATCAGCACAGGGCTGATGAATGGTGCAGATACACAGGGCAGCACTCTCTGATCCTGCCGCTGCCTCAGCTGCTCAGGGAGCTGTTGGAAGAGCAGGCAGGTGTCTGCAAGTGAAAAGTTCCTTTAGCTTTGGGAAGGGCAGCCCCACGGGAACCAGGATTTGCCAGTGTCTAGCTGCTCTGCCCCTTGGAGCTGGTCCTACACCACCACACACAAGCTCACATGCTGTTTCCAGCCTCCCAAAAATTATTTGAGGCACTTCTGCAGCAATGGGGGAGGCACGCATAGCAACCTGCCCCCTCATCTCATGTGCTAGCACTGTGCTTGTTGGGCCTAGAAAGCTTGCCAGCTGCTCTGCCTCTTCAAAAGATGCCGCCCCGCTCCCTGCGGTCACCCTCTAATTAGAGCTTGGCTATTGCCTGGCCGTGCCGCTGGGCCTGCAGCTGTGGGCTCTGTCCTGCAGCAGCGAGCCCAGTCCCCTCCCGCCCCAGCACATGGATGGGGTCAGCACCGAGGGCCTGACCGCAGAGGCAGGTTATGCGCAGCAGCAGCCACCACCAGCGCCTGCCTCTGCTGAAGCCAGACAGCATCCACCCACGGCAGTGTCAAGGGAAAGAGCTCTTCCTTTGGCCGCAGGTACGGGGTAGCAGGGAATGACGGTCTGCAGAGCAGCGGTGACAGCAGGCCAGGGCATGCTTCTCCCCTGAGAGGTTTGCTTCATTGTCTCCCCAGCATCACCAATAGATCCCATTCCCCCTCAGCACCACTTCAACCTGACAGTAAAGCCGCGGTCCCGGCTCCCCCAGGGAGCAGGAGGGCGAGCTCATTCCATCACTACTGCTCAAAAAAGGTGTTCTCCTTCCTCATCCTCCAGCAAGAGCAGGGGCACAGCTCTAGACAGAGCCAGGGACTGCTTCAACACCCCTGCCAGGCAAAATTTGGCTGTGGCAAGAAAGGTGCTGGTTTCCACAGCGAGTTCTCACTCGCCGTTGGCTGGAGAGGGCCAGTTTTAGCAGACAGCACTGCATGTTAGTTTACAAACCCAGCCCTGCACGTTTGGCCTCTGTGAGTGTTCAGTTTCCCCATGGAGCACCCTTCTGCCGTTCCACCTTGGTGAAGACAGTGTCCTCCTCTGGTAGACATGCAAGTTCCTCCTTGGCACATGCGCAGACACTTTTCGGTTTTTGTTCCAGACAGGAAGGTCTTGACCCCCCAAGTTTGTTTCACAGGCAGGCTGCTGCCGGGAGCAGCGCTGAGCAGACACGACCCGCCAGGACGGCAGGCTGGAAGCGTGGCCCGCAGCAGGTGGGGAGCACACATACCCACGGCCGCGCTCGGCCAGCACGCAGCACTGGGCCAGCGATGGCGTACGCTCCAGTTCCTGCTGCGGGAGCCCTGAGCAGGGAGCTGCCCTATCCCTGTCAGCTGGGCAGGCGCAGGCCCCTGCGCGCGGCAGCAGCAGCAGCGGTGGCAGCAGCTCACATCGCTGCAGCCACCACGCGGTGCAGGCAACAAGCCACAAGACAGCACTTAGAGGAGGCACAGGCAGCATCCAGCCTGGGTTGGTGTTGGTCCGTGGCTGGACGAGAGGAAGGACTAGATACTGCACAAGGGTAAGAGTTGCACTAGAAGAGTCAAGACCCTCCTCTGTGTAGCAGGACTAAAAACTAGCAGAAAGACCAAAAATGGTCTGAGATTTGCTGGTTACAACACTTTCTGTGCTACATGTGCAATATATTTGTTATGAATGTTATCACAAAGTCAGTTCATTCAATAATCTTTTAATCACTGTAGCTAGATGTTCTGCGTCCATTCAAGTGACTTTTATTCGAGTGCAATATTTCAATAGACACGTAGTGACCTAGTATGCTTTGTGTTTTAGAGAATCTGTGTGCAGAGCAATGCAATTAAGTTTAAAACCTTGTAAATAAAACAGGTTGCAAACCAAAAAAAAAAAAAAAGAGTATTAGGCTTGCGTTTAATTTCTGTGTTTCAGTATTGTGCATTAGGCCGCCTCAGTACAGACCCTGTGTTCTCTGTGCAGGTATTAATGGAGGAGTGGCTCCTCAGCTGTTGAATGCTCCCTGTTAATGCTTTACTGCTTTAACTGTATTCATTTTTCTAGACTCCTGTCTGCACAAAATGCAATAAATGATTTTATTACACCCTTCACTACTTGCACCAGGACTTTTCACTTGCTTCCAGGGTCTCCGCAGTTATTTTGCACTTCGCTGCTACCATTTCCATAACAAGGAGCAAGCCCCAACAGGGAGCAGCAGATTGCAGAGGAAGCAAAACATCAGGAGAGGAACAGCCTCTCCCAAGTGCCACAGTTCCCAGTTTAAGCTCATGCAAATTTCTGATCACCCCAGCAAAGATGCTTTACCTGTCTGCAGGGCTGTAGAGACAGACAAAGGTATCTAACAAAAAGAGACCAGAAGAGGAAAGATGGAAGACAGACATACTTCCATCCAATTTCAGGTTGTATAGTAATGGCAGTATGAAGTCAAGGAAGGCCGGTGTTAAATGCACAGGGACTTGTAGCCCTAACTTCACGCAGCAGCTGTACAATTAACAGCAACTGCAGCACAGACACCGGACCAGCTTGCTGCTGGCCCGACGGCACACCCTCCCTTCCCACCACCAGCAGCCAGAGAGGCTTCGGACCTCTCAGCACCGACCCCTGCCACACACTGCTCCAGCGCACAGGTCCCTGAATAGGCATGTGGGCTGCTCTGCCTGAGATCATCCAAGTCCAGTGTGCGAGAATAAGTATCTGTTGAGGCGCTTCAAAGTGTTATAAACTGACTGAGACAGACTACAATATTCTCACAACGGGTCACAGTAAGGTTCATACGCTCTCCACTTAGCATCCAGCGCTGGGCAGCATCTGACCCAGCTTATCTGGAAGAAGAGAGCAATGGCAAACACAGTGGAATAATGTATTCCAGTAGTACTCAAGCTGTCAAGTGTCAAAAATACAACAAAATGTTTTTCCTGCCTTTTTATTAGAAAGTAATGTCATCTTGTTAACAGCACAGAGAGGAAAAAAATACAACACAAACCACCTGGGACAAAGAAAATCCTCTCCTCCAAGAACACTGCTTTCTTAGTTTCTTTCGGTTCTCTGCAGGAAGCCTGCAGACTCTAAGAAGGCCGTGATGGGGAGGTCCACATAGCTAAGAGATGTTTTGTGTTCTGGTATCAAAGTATGTTACTGGTTAAAAACACGGTGAAGAATCACTGCCTGATTTTCCACTCAACTGTCCGCTGCAGCTACCAAAGTGTTGAAAAAATGTACAAAATTATAGTATTGCATCTTGGCACTGCCTCTCCACCTTAGATGGACAAAACACCAATCAACAGTGAGATGAAGTTTCAAAGAGCAGACATTCACCACCTGGTAACTGGCTGTGGGTATTCCCAAGGGAGGGCCAGCAGCACATCAGCGTGGCTGTGGCTGAGCTGTTGGGCTACAGGAACCAACGTCCCAAAGCAAGATAATAAGAAAAGGAGATTTATATGCCAAATTTAACAGATTGATCTTAACACTGACTGCTTGGTGTAGGAAAATTGACAGACCATTTGAAATCTCTGCCTTGGCTGGAAGCTCTTGTGTTTCAGATCTGCCACAGTACTCGGACCAAAGCTGTCAGTTTCCATGAGCTGGGCAAGGTGAGGAGTGTTCCTCTGCCTCACTCTGCCAGGACATGACAGTCCAGCTATGGAAGGACCAAAGAGCACAGTCCTGGGTTACTGAGTAGTGGTCAGGCATGTGCTTCATGAGTTCAGCTGCTAGCGCTACCACTGTACTTTCCAACTGGCTTATATGCCATTAAAAAAAGAAATAAAAAAAGAAACCTAAAGAAAGACAGTGCCCATTCCAAAAAGGTGGGTTTCCAAGAAGGCCCAGTCAGTGTACCGCTCTGTTCAGTCCCCTATTTCCTCAAAACCACTGACCCAAAACTATACTAAGACCGTTCAGCGAGACCAGACTGCGTCGCAATGTGAAGATGCACGAGCTACTGGGAGTGAGGAAATGCAGGAGGACTGTCATTCCAGCAGCTTCTGGGACTGGACAAAACAACCGATTATCCAAAGCAGCTCTTTGCACATTGTGCCGCTGAGAAAATAGAGCATACATCCCCAAACACTGCTAACCAGACCGAGGTGAGGAAGGGCAGCGCTAGCAACAGTCAGCAGCAATGCCACTGGGGGTACACTCTCACCAAAGTGGAGAGGACATGCATATCCAGGGGCATTTGTCCCATGCCGAGGACAGGAGACTCTTTAAACAGCTATAAGTATGGAATGGCAAAGGGAAGGGGAAAGGGCCCGACAGCTTTAATAGTGTCGCTGGTAGGAACCCATAGGTTGCTGGGCTGAGGACCCTGCTCGCCCCTGGGCCACGGTTTGGCTCACTAGGTGGGAGAGTGCAGGACCACTCTGGATAAGGGTGTCCAAGGCTTTCTGTACACTAGGGTTGTCAAAGTTGATACCAGAAGATACTGGCCTTTGAGCAGGTACATTGCCAGGCGCAGGGAGGCGATTTTGGTGCTGACCATAGAGCGACTGAGCTTGTGGAGGAGCTCCAGGTCTTGGACCCGCATTTCTTGAAGTGCCTTGGAGAGCAGGAAGCTGCGTGCTTGGAGTCTGCAATCTCTGCTGAGCCTGGTTTAAATTTCCAGCACTCATCTGTGCTGACCGGGCCTGACCGCTGGCCATGTTAGCAAAGTTCTGGTTCGGAGTGCCACCTGAAGAGCCCGCAGAGGCTGTAGAACTGCTGTTTGCTGCAGCAGCTGCTGCTGCTGCTGCCCCACTGTTGAAGAGACTGAGGATTTTTGCTTGAAGCTCCTGCTGAGGATTAGAAGAGGACACTGGAACAGAAGGAGCAGAGACCAGAGGCTGCGAACCCTGATGAGCCTGAGAGCTTGGAAGGCTGGACTGACTACCCAGAGATGATCCTGAAGGTGCCCCCAAAGACTGTCTTGACATGGATGCTGGGAAAGAAAGGAAAGAGGGTTAAAGCTCTGCAAATGCCCTTGAGGGGCACCTAAACAAAACTAGTGAAACAGCTACCAAAGACACGAGCATCAATGAATACCCACCCTCTGAACAGAAGAGCTGCACAGCTCTGGGGAACCCAAACCACTCAGCAGAACTGATGCCTTTTGTGTAGCAGCCATACCAGTTATGGCAGTCCCATGGTTTCCCTGAGAGAATCCAGAATAGAAGTTCTTTCACATGAAAGATCTGAATCATCTCAGGACTCCCAAGGAGACGTGCATCTCAATAAAAAGAGGCACTGTGTGAGGAAGTTACGACACTAGGACTCCTCTGCAATCCCAGGACTGTTCTCCTGTCCCAGCCCAGAGGGCCCACAGACCATATGATTAATAGCCTTGCCTGGGGCTGAGAAACCTACCCTGCAGAGAATCAGTGCTTCCCCTCAGTAACCGTTCCTTCCGGTCTCTCAAGTAATTAATTACTTTATCAGTCTCCTCAGCAGTTAGATAGCGATTGTCAGCCAGCAGGTTCAAGAGAGTCTGAATCCCTGGAGGGTGACCTCCTCTGACACCCTCCTCCATGGGGGGTGGGCGCTCCCGCTCCTGCAGAACAGCTTCATCTGCCATCTTGGCAGCCTGCCGGGCGATTTCCTCACGCTCCTTCTCCCGTGACTCTGTTTTGTAGCGCTCATAATTCCTTGCCACCAGCACCATGGCATCAGCTTGGGGCATGTTGCGGTGTTCTGCACAAGGAAAAGAAATGCTGTAAGTAAACCAAAGTGATGTTAACAGGAGGTGCCTTGCCTCACACGCACAAGCACACCTCATTCAGCAGGCAGGCACTGTTCTGGAATTGCAAGCGTAGACTTGGGAAGCTTCTTAGACACACAGTAACTGTTCAATTACCTAGGCCAAGAGGAGGCTCAAGGCTATCGCCCAGCAAGGCCATCCTTTTTGTCCGTGGCTGAAGGCTCTGAGAAGATATCGTATCAGCCCAAGAAATGTCTTTCTTGCCTCTCACCCAATTAAAAGGGAAAGCAGCTCCCTCTGCACACATAAATTCTCTGTGCTCCAAGAGGAGACAGTTCCAGCCATTCTACTGCTAAACCCTTGGACAGATCCAAAACTTGCCCTCTGAAGGCTGCTAAAGTCTCCCAGAGGAGAACTTTTTGGTTCTGTACTGCCAATGCCTTAATATAGTGAGTGTGTATGCAGGAGATAGGGAGGAAAGAAGCACTGGCTCGATGTCACATTGCTGTTTATGTTTACTATTCTGGAGCAATAAGCAGCAATCAAGTTCTTCTGTAATACAATGAATAATGGTCAATTCCAACGTTGGGTTTGGTTTGGGTTTTTTTTGCAGTTGCCTTTTAAAGTTTTTGAGGCCATTATTTCCACCTCACAAAGCACACACACAAACATTTCCCTGAACACAGATTTAAGCAGGAGATCAAAAGAGCCTTTACTTTCCAAAAGGTGCCCAAAGCTCTGGGCGCTTTTCACACCCGCAGAACATCAAATCCTGCCACTTTTTTCCTCGTAACACGAAACTGGGGTTCATTTTAACATTACTCTTTGCACAAGTTGTGAAAGAGTTCCCTGAAACTACTGTGAATGGAAAGGTGGCTGCCTGCGGTTCAAGTGAGCACATTTAATCTCTAGAAAGAGCTGTGGATGAGCTAATGACTGGGCTCTTATCAGATGTGATACACCATTAGATGCAGTAAAGAAGAGAAGCTTTGGTGGGAAGATGAGTGTTAAACGAAAGGAGTTAAAACCAAGGGCAGTGGAAAGCCCAGTGAAAGTGTGTGCGAGCTTTATTTCTGCAGGAAATGAGGGAGCCCTCCTATCACATCTGCATCTGATGTTAAAGGAAACCAGGCTTCTTCAGTCTGTAAGCACAAAAAAACCAGTGACTGTGCATTCAGAAGCTTACTCTCCCAGATGAACCTCACAAAACATTATCTGAGAACACAATAAGGCAGAAATAACCTTTGAAAGCTCAATTGTGGTATGTGAACAGGCCTATGACCAGAGCAAAAGACTGCTTTCCAAAAGTACATTCTGACAAGACTTTTTTTAATACCTATACCCACCCTCACAACAACCAAGTCGCACCCTGAGATGGAAAGTGATGCACCAAGTGTAAATGGCAATAAAAAGGTGGAGCATGTACACCCAATCACTTTACAGTTATATCTTTTCATAACTCTTCCCAGTTTCATGCCCAGATCTTTACCTTGACTAAATACACTATACTTATTCTGTTTTCCTTAAATCACATTTGGTTTTAAAATCTGTCCTGTACTTTGTCACATTCCAAACATGCTTTCTTTGAGAGCAACAAGTGATAAACTGAGGTTGGATTGGTACTACTCAGAAATCTACAAAGGCAATGCAGTCATTTCTAGATCTGTGGTTCATGACTTGCCCTAAGATGCAAAGGCTGGTGATGTTAGGTGCTAAGAACACAGATGAGATTCCCTCTTGGCAGAAATTAGACAGTCCTTTTGACAAGGGACAAATAAAGTATTACAGAAGCTTGTAAATAATGATATTCACATTTATGACATGGTGTCAAGTAATTAGTAACTACTTATGTCACAGCAAGGATGAACTTTGTCCTGTGTGATTCTCCTTGAAAGAAAAGTGTTCTAAAGCAGCACTTTGGGCGGTCAGAGTGACCACGCAGCTACACAGCCTACTGAGACCTCAGTACCTTGTGGGGTGCCAAACATGATGTTAACAGTGCAAGAGCGGTGAACTTGATGCTGCTGGGTGATGACAATGGCAAAAGGAGACCCTCCTCTGCTCACATCGTCCAGGGCTTGCGTCAGTGACATCTCTGTGTTGAGGAAGATCAGGTCCACTACCATGCCCAGATCCCGCACCTTCCGCCCCACTGACTCCGCGTACTCCCTACCACAAAGCAAAGCCAGCAGAGTTTAACAAGTCAGTCACATACAGAAACAGAAACCCTGGCACATTCACCCTCTCCATCATCTTAGATTTGCTTTTCTGATGGCTTGCCAAACTTCATAATGTTTAACAGGACAGCATTAAAGCAATCTCATTATAATAATACAAAAGCCCTTATTTTGATCTGAATCAGTCATTTCAGTTTAACTGAAATAAATTACAAATCAAGCCTTAGCTTAGCTGAGAAACAGAGTGTTTGCAAAGGGATTTACACTATTATAAATTTGTTTACATACAAATGTTTTTAAACTGAACTCATTAAGTGAGGTAATTTATGCCTGCAGAGATCTAAGGGGTACACAGCAGAGCAGCCACCCTATAGAAGCCAGTTACTTGTGCTACATTCAGTATCTTAATTGTTCAAATGCACCTTATTCCTTATTGTCTTGCTCTTTTGTTCTACTAGCTGCTTTCTGCTCTAACCCAGCATCAATGGATCCACTGTTCCTGTATCCACTGTCCTGCAGACTTCCCATTCCAAGCACAAACCATAGGTCACATGGCTGAGCTTAAAGTTTTCAAGTCTTTTTTTAAGCTTACTATACTGAAAACTGCAATACTGACTGCATATGCATTCTGAGAAATTTAGTCTGCGTGCACCCACACCTTTGGAAAGAACTTCAATTTATTGTCCTTGGATGCAAACATTGTAATGGTGACTAAAACTGTTGCCCCCACCAACTGTCTTTTTAAGTATTTCTAAGTTACGCTGATCGTGTAACTAAGTCATGTGGGAGTCATCTTACAACAGGTTTAGAGTAGGTGACATCAATGTTTCAATACCCAAGACTTATTAACATGCTCTGGCTCTTAACATTTGTAGCTGTTACAGACCAAAACAATCCTTAGGATATTAAGCTGATCCTCTTGCACAAAAAAATTCTCCCTGTATCAAGTACAATAACTTGTGGCCTATTAGAATATCTTCCAAAGACTTTTAGTCACCAAGGGATAAAGAATCTAAAATTTCCTTTCAAGATTTGTTCCAGTAGGTAGTCAACTTCATTAAAAGAAAACCACAGAAGTTTATTTCTAGTTTCACTGCTTCCCTTGTTCCAATTTCCTGTTCTGTCTTCTACCACCAGATCAGCACCAGCTCCTTCTGCCTCACAGATACAGCAAAGTTAAATAAAAGCAACTCTTGATCTTTTTTCCAAAGAGCTAAGGAGACAGAGCTTTAAATTTCCCCTTGACAAACATTTTCTTCAGACTCCAAGCCAGATCTATGACTTATTTACATATTTGCTACTCTTCAATATATTTATTTGTAAAGATACAGACATCAGACTGATGCCATCACTACAGCCTCCCTCCCACTGTACAAGGCGTAGGTGTACCTCCCTGTTCCCAACACAGCACCTGCCCCATTAGCTCAGTAAGTGTTCAGACTGCCACAAGAGATTACCCTGATTACTACTTACACATGCTTTTGATATTGTTCATGACTACGTTCAGCAGTGATTTTATATTTCTTGCACGTTGGATTAACGGTAACGACTGGTATCTGGCCTAGTAACTAATCTGATAGGAGCTCTGAAACAAACACCCCCAGGACTACACCCTGACAACTGCTCTGTACTATCTGCTGGTTGGCACGTAATGACAAGTTCCATATTATTCAACCCATGAATAACAAATACAGACCACTATAATCTGTTACAACAGTAGACTGATATGAAGAGTAGGTAGAAAAGTATCAGGAGAAGGTATAGCGATAGGTGACAAGAAGGAAATAAAAGTAAAGCACAAGATACAACATTTCTCCATCTCATCAACATATATTCCTAGAACAGCAACAGGAGCTGTAGCTTTCTGAGGGCTGTAAAGCCACATTCCTCAAGAGCAACCTGCAAGACAAACAGCCTCAAGGACTAAGTTTAATTCCATTTTCTTCTACCATGTAATAATAAAATTCGTCATAACTATTTTCTTACTTTGTCTGTTTATTCACCACTATCACAGAACAATCCACAGGTCTCTCTGCATCAAAACGTCTCTTGATTTCCTCATAGTACTGACGGTACAGCTCCTCTCGGCGCCGCTCCTCACGCTTCAGACGGTCTGAAAGCAAGCCACAGGGACAGAACAAATAATGTCCTTTGGACCTCCTCGGAGCACCACAGAATGCAACGCACTCAGCACTGCAGGCATCTCCTGCATCCTCCCAGAGGAAGGATGTGAATCTGCCCATTAAAACGTTACAGATGCTCACCTTCTGAATTCACTGGTGCTCTATCAAAATGCTCTTTGTAACGGTCATAGTAAGAGTCATCCTTCCGCCGATAGTAGTCTTCAAGGCGAAGGTAACGGTCATAAGCTTCATCTCGTCTGCAACATTTACAGAAGCAGCAAGGGTTTCCATGCTCCAGCATGATCTCAGGCAGTAACTTTGGCCAATGCATCACACAGAGACCTTCCTCAAGTTTAATTTCTGAAGTACCCACCCGCTCTCCACAAGACACAAAGTAGGCACCCAATTGTCCCCAGCCAGAGCAATTTCCTTATCTTAAATGCCTGACACCACTCAAACGAGTGCAGCCATTGAGGCAGGAATGCCATAAAAATGTTGGCAAATACAACCCCGCGGAGATTACCTGTACAAAGGGTCCCGAGGGTCTCTCATATCCCATGGATCCCTCATATCCCGTGGATCCCTCACATCTCGTGGATTTCTCATATCCCGTGGATCCCTGTATCGATCATACAGTGGCTCCCGTGGGTCACGAAGATCTCTAACATCACGAGGGTCCCGCAAGTCTCTTGGATCCCTGATATCCCGTGGGTCTCGCAGGTCCCGTGGGTCCCTGTGGTCTCTGGCGTCGCGCATGTCTCTAGCTCGAATGTCTCGAGTGTCTCTGGAATCTCGCCCGTTTCTACCATCCCTGCCATCTCTGGGGTCTCTCCGTGGGCTCCCCCGAAGAGGGGAGCGGTCACGTCTAGCATCTCGGCCATCCCCGTAGGCATATGGCTCTCTAAAGAAAACACCATGGAAACGCCATTAGACTGCTAACGATACGAGTACAGTTACCCCTAGATCTCTTACCTGAGGTGCCAAAGTGACCCTTCTCTCAGCAGCTGAATCCTCCCTCCTATCCCACAACAGCAAGAGTTGCCCAAAAAAACCCTACTTATTGAAGCAGCCTGGAGAAGCTTCTTAATTCTAATGTTTATCATAGCCAAACAAGACCCAGAAAGCTCCTTAATGGAGCACCACTACAAGTGTAGAGCACCTACAAAAGAAGCGAACAGGCACCTCAGAAACCACCATTTCAAGGCCTCCAGCCTCCAACGTCAGCCACAGATCATCTATCAAACATGTTTTTGCAAATTCTTTGAGAGAATTCAAGGTGCTGTAGCCTAATACCCACAAGTATGCAATAGCCAGGAGCATTCAAGGGATCCGTTAAATTCATTAGTCAGTGACAGCAGAATACCTTAAATAATTTGTTATTGGCATGTGATTAAAAAAGGAGCTTGTTGTGACCAAAGACACTGTAGGTTCCGTATTGTGGTTGGGTTTGTGCTGCTAACAGAAAGCAATGATAGCTACCATTGTGTCCTGGATTTGAAGGGATAGTTTCCGTAGAAAGCCAGTCTTACATTTACGATGTCCCATGTTAAGAGGGTGCTAAACCCAACCAGCACCACATCCTCAGCAGCAACAGGCTTCTCTGTCATATCTGAATGATCCACCTCATTCAGACTTTGTACTGCACTGTCTTCGGAGGCAAGGAAGAATAACATTCCAGTGTTCATCTTTTCCCAAAACAGCGGGGTTTTTTTTCCAGGTCATATTTTGTTTTCCAGAAAAAAACATAACTTCACTGTTGTCTAAGCCAAACATTAAGAAAAATCTTGCAGAGAAACTACTGAGCTTCACATGTTTGGAATGTTCTTTCCCCAAGATACTGACAACCATTGGGAAAAAAAACCAGCTTTTTGAATCTTTTTATTTCCAAAACTTGACAGACTTTTAGAGTCCTCTACCAGCCTAATCTAGTTCATGAAATATAAGCAGAACATAAGTCAGCTTCCACTACAGTGCATTCACGTAGTAGTCACCTGGAGAGAACAGCAGAAGCAGCGAGTCAGATGTGCCCAAGTTCAGTGTCAGGTAGAGCGGACAGTAAGGAGACAGATGTGTGGAGTCTCTGCATGGGCTTTGGTGGTTAGACACCCAGCTGTGCTGGGGGATACACAGGAGCACTGGCATTCTTTACTTTTACATCAGATACAAAACAGATCTTGGGACAAACTACAGAGTTGCCACCAAGAGCATAGATAGCCTTCTCCTGTAAAAGAAACACTGTATTTGCACACAAACAAGTGTAAACTCCCTCAGCCTCTTGGACACACAAATCCGCTTTTTGTTTGTGACCTGTATTGAAACCACATCCCACGAGAGATACACATCATCACCCCCTTCCCCCCAACCTACAATGAACAATGGCAGAAGCTCCGGGGAATCTCCTGATTTGCTCTAATGGATATTGAGTAACTGATCTTTCTGTAGCTGTAAGACTATATAGCAAAACAGCCAGATGCAGTGTAATTGTTTGGCATATGACATTTATTCCAGCTGGAGTGGGGGTGACCAGAACAGGCCACACTCATTATCTGCAGAGACAAAGATCTGGAACGAACAACACACAACTGCAACGAAGTACAGACGTGGCACGGGTCCCCTCTGCTCTTGCACCTGCATCGCTGCCCTGCTGCTTGCAGAGAGTCAGCAGCACAAAGGCACAGCAGCCTTCTGCTTCCGCAGCTCTGTCACCACGGTCTGACTCCTGCAGCATCAGCACCGCTGCCCACATCTGCTCAGGACTCAGTACTGCTGGCCCAGCACCGCCGCCTGCGGCGCAGCATGCGACTCTGCACCCGGGCATCAGCAGCCGTCGTTCACATGCCTGCAGCGTCGTCCACAGTCCATCATCGGCAGCTGTGCCAAGGACTTGATGCCCACGACCTCATCGCCACCCATGCCCATGGTGCTGCTTGGGACCTGGTGCTAGTAACGTGGGATGGCCACAGTGTCTGCAGTGCCAGCTGGAATCCAGTGTCTGTCACAGTGGCACCAAAGCCTTTGGCAGCCGTGGTGGTAGTCCAGTCCAGCACCGCTGCCCACAGCTCACTCACCTCCAGTGCTCCTTAGGGCCCATGACATGGGCATCTGCTCTTGCACACATGCAGGATGACACAGGTCCCAATACCCACAGCATCAGCACCCGCTGCTTGTCCCTCTGCAGCATGGTTCGAGGACCAATGCCCATGGCATAGGTGCCTGCCTCCCATACCCACAGTGCTGCCTGGCGCCTTCAACGTTATGCACCTGTGGTGCCACTAAGGCCAAAGATGTGCCATCAGTGCCTGCTGCTCATGTACTTGCAGTATTCTTGGGATCCTCATGCCAGCACTGAGCACACCTGACACGGCCCAGGCGCAAGGCTTGCCACATCTGTAACGGGAACCCCCAGCTGTGTGCCCAAAGCATTTCCTGGGCCTGACACCCACATGCTGGTCTCTGCAAGTGCATTTGGCCCTGTGCAGGGCAAGTGTAGCACATACAAAAGACCTAGATGATGCCAAGAATTGCAGCTACTCATTCTCTGGTTTTTTTGGTGGTAGACATCTTGCACTTTTTCCTCATTTTTGGTAATTTAATGCGTCGAGTTAGCAGAGCACACCAGACACGTGAGAGCTTCATTACCTTCAAGTCCAACAAGCAACACTCCTTTGTGTGGAAAGCTTTACAGCATAGGCATAGAAGATGCATGCCTCGTACCAAACCATAACCACAGCACATCTTCGTGCGCTCCCTAGTAATGCCATGGAAAGGAAACTGAAGTCGCCCTCCTGTGACTGGACAGTCTGTGTCTTCACTTGCCTATGACTTCACACACAGAGGATATGCAGGAGCTGCACAGGCTGTGCCTACCGAGAGGTGGGAAGGTACATATCACTCTAATCGCACAGAAGGGGACTGGTTCCAGGTACTGACAACGCAAACACACATGCAGACAGGACACAGTGCAATAGAGATGTTTGCTCTGTCTTGTGCTTCGCTCACATGCTCTTTTCCAGACTCATTTCAGCATTGGAAGCTTTCAACTTCAGAAGAGGCAAGATCCCGAAGTCCTCTGCAGCATGGCACTGGGAATGCTACAGCCCCTCAGCATTCTCTAGGTATGCCTCGGCTTCTCTGATACTTGAGGCAGGAGCAAACGTCAGGTGTATTCTTCCTCACAAGTCTCTTACAACCTGTGCTGCAAAACATAATGCTTAGCTGTAGTAACAGCAGCAGACACGAGGTTTCCCTCGTGCCTCCTGAGGTGTCAGCACCAGAAGGGCTCTTGGCAGTGGAGCAGCCACGTCCCGACTGTCTCGCTTCAGCATCTCCGTTTGACTGGGGAGGTGGCGGTAGGGAAGAGACACAGACATTTAGCACAGGCCGCTGGGCTCATGCCCTAAAAGCCTGACCTTCCTAGTATAACTCACTGCTTCCAGGTACTTTACCTTCGTGCCGGACTGGACCTTGATGAAGCCTTATTCATATTTCTTCTTTCCACTGCTTTCTTAATATCTGTAAAGAATAATCAACCCATCTGTTCAATGCTATGGAACAAAAAAAAGATCATCAGCACAATTCAAATGAAAGCAACTTAAGCTCAACATCATCCAGATGGTACAAGAAAATCCATTCAGCAGAGAGACATTGTCACTTTGACAATTTTTTTATTAAGTTCAGATAGTACAATGTAATGAAATTTTCATGGATTTCTCTGACTTCAAAATAGGGTGGACAGCTTGGGTGAAGTTTTAACCTTTTAGGTTCAGGCCTACATCCAGACTCTTCATTCCATAAGAGAACCTCTTTCTTCTGCAGTCTATGAGCGAGCAGAAAGCGACTCATGGACTCTAGGAGAAAAAGCAGAGTCTGAAAACCAACGAGAAAGGAAGCTGATGGCCAGCACAGTCTTAAGTTCACAGCCAGTCCTGTTCAATGGAGTATGCCGCTACCCTTGTTGAAAATAATCCAAGGGTTCTCAAGTGGCACATACAACTGCCTTCCAAGGGACTGCTGCAGCGTTAAGTTGTACAGCCTCCACCACTGAGGAAACGGGATCCAAGGAGCCTGAAGCACAAGCTCCTTATGAAGTCAACATGGTGCATTCAAAACACCACTGTTAACATGATGCAAACTGATGCAACAGATCAGAAATTTGAAAATTGGTTGGCTTCTGAGCATCTCCATGAAAAACACCATGAAGTGAAATACAAAGAAGTAAGAGAGCTGAAGAAACAGTCTTGTCCTCAACCAGAAAAAGCGAAGTTGCCCAGAACTGGCAGGGACCCATATTGTTCTACTGTGAAGCAACAAAGCCTTCCATAACAGCTGATTGAGGATGAAATAATGTACTTGAGGGGGGCAAGAACAAACAGAAATGACTCCAGATGTTTTACTCTGAGACCTCTTTAAGGAAAAGAACAAAACAAACCTAGGTCCTATCTGCTCTCTGAGAATCTATCAACAATTAAAATTTCTTATTAGTTATTTACACTAACTACTTTCAAAGCTCTTGCAAGAGAATAAACATGCCACAATGTCCTTAGGCAGACTCAGTCTTAACATCTTCTGTACCTTCCCAAACTATCCTTCGTTACTTTCAAGATTAAAATTAGAATTAAGGGATTAGTTCTAATTTTTGTTCTTCTCGTCAATCAAGAAGTAGCACTTTTTTTTTTTTCTTTTTGAAGGGGGAGAGAAGCAAGCACAATCTGAACATTAACTACAAATGCAGCATAACAACATCCACAGAACTGCAAAGCATCCTCTCCAGGATCAAATACAGCCACATTGTCTACTGTCACTGTGCTGGTTTTGGCTGGGATGGAGTTAATTTTCTTCATAGTAGCTGATATGGGGCTATGGTTTGGATTTGTGCTAAAAACACTGTTTGTAACACAGGGATGTGTTAGTTATTGCTGAGCAGTGCTTACACAGAGTCAAGGCCTTTTCTGCTTCACATGCCACCCCACCAGCGAGCAGGCTGGGGCTACATAAGTTGCTGGGACCAGGGACACAGCCGGGACAGCTGACCTATGGGATTTTCCAGAATGTACGACATCATGCTCAGCATATAAAGCTGGGGGAAGAATGAGAAGGGGCGGGGGGGGGGGGGGATGTTCATCTTCCCAAGTAACCATTACACACAATAGAGCCCTACTTTCCTGGAGATGGCTGAACACCTGCCTGCCGACGGAAGCAGTGAATAAATTCCTTGTTTTGCTTAGCTTGTGTGCATGGCTTTTGCTTTACCTGTTAAACTGTCTTTACTTCAACCCATGAGTTTTCTCACTTCTACTCTTCTGATTCTCTCCCCCAGCCCACTGTGAGGGGAGCGAGCGAGCAGCTGCATGGTGCTTAGTTGCCAGCTGGGGTTAAACCACGACAGTCACAAACTAAATTTGATGGACATTTAGTTCCTACATAGTTTTACTAATTAAAGATACGAAAACACTTCTATGCATTTGTGGAAGTATTAGTATAATGCAACATAGGAGCTAAACTCTCCCAAAGCCTTTTACCTTATTGTGTTATTAGCAATTATATTTAATACTCAGACTGTAAAACTGAAGCACCTGTTCTCCTTGCATTTATTTTTTTAGTTGAGATTTTTTTCCCCCTCTTAAAGTCAAGTGTTATTTTTAAGCAAGACACTATCTGCTTTCTTTGGTTTAAGATTTTTATTTTCTGTTTTAAGATGCCATTGCAGAAACCTATTATGTTTTTTTACACTCAATACCATACATTTCTTTCAAATAAAAAAAGTATTTAAATCTGAACAAAAATATTTTACTAGAAGAAAAAACACCTTTGACAGGGATCCTTCTCTTGTGCAAAATGAACAGATTTAATAACATTTTATTTAATGCCAACAGCATTTACACTTTAAGTATTTGAACACTGACAAAGCTTCCAAGAAAAAAAAAAAAGTCTTCTGTCCTGTAGGATTTGGAGATGACAGGGTCACTGTAATCATACAGTGTAACTTTCTGAATAAACACAGGTGATAAGAGTTTCTTGAATCACATTCCTACCTCAAGTGCAGCATTGAACTAGAGCTTATCTTTTAGCAAAACATCCAATTCCAATTTAAAAGTCTTCAGAGCACAGAAACCACCAAAGCTCCAATAAGTTATTCCAGAAGTAAATTACTTTGCTGTTAAAGAAAACTATTTATTTCCATTTAAGGACTTGTCATACCTATGCCTACTAGATTAAAACTCACTTATCTCCAGGTCTGTCTGTAACACACAGATCACATCACTCCTTTATCTTGAGGCTTTTGCTAGGGCTTGTTCTTCAACTCTTTAAGCCTTCTTCAGGTTTTTCTGAGGCTTCTCCCATTTAGTATTATCCTTTTTGAACCAGGTATACCAGAACTGAACACAGTATTCCAGCAGCAAAACCCCACAGGTACCAAACCTCCCTACTTACAAATCTGTGTTTTGTACAGCTAAAGATGACAAAAGCACTCTCGCTGGGTGCAGACCTTCCCTTTTGGCTTTACTGAAAGCTCAGTTCTGCCTGCATCCAGCTTAGGAAGAAGTCCAGGTCATTTCACCATCGGTGACTCAATCTTCATTATTTCATTCTCTTTTTAAAACATGATTGTGTGTTTTCTTTCCAAGTGACTTATGAAAGCACTATATGGCCAGGAATCAATTTTTCCAGAACACCACTCAAAGCACTGAGCAATTCCATCTATGTTACATTGAGATTCATTTGAAATCCACTTAACCCTATGTTGTTTTTAATTGTTCTAGTTTCTTAATCAAATCAAACATCTTACAGGAGTCTTTTACATCAACACTGTTATTTTCAGCCACAAAGCTTGCAGTATCATAAGAATAAGTTAGTTTGACAGTATTTATTTTGATTGGCATTAATTAATTCCCTTCTCACTGAGTGTCAGGTGGAAGAATCCCTTTGTTATCAGGGGCTGATGCCAGGCTCCTCCTATTTACACTGCCTATCGGCACATCCACAGCGCTCTGCTAGGTCCCTGGAAACTCCCTAGTTTTCCAAGGCTTGTGGAAAAACAAAATTAATGGCCCAGGCAGGTCTTCCTTTCACTGAGCCTCATAGATGTTAATTTCTTTTGAGAGGTCTAGTTTTGGTAGCTGCTGTTTTACCTCTTTTATTTTGCTACTGAAATGGAAGTTATATTAAAAACACTTCCTGCCTCTTCAAAAATAGACAGCAGAAGCATTAACTGAAGACTACTAGGTGGTCCCTTCCAGTTTGAAATTTTATCATTTCCAGACAGTTACACCTTAGCTTCTAAAACAGCCACAGTTGTTCCTATTTAAGCTTCTAGACTTGGACAATGCTGCCATAATTTCTTCTTGTATCCTTCTACCCTCCTTGCCTATTTGCCTTGATTTCCATCTTCAGGCTCATATTTGTTACTGTATACACACCTTCCCACAAGTTATTTTTTATTGCTCCTTTCATTCCTTTCTAAGTCAAACTGTTTCTTCAAATTAGCATAGGCTTACTGCAAAAGTAATTTTTTGGCTTGCACTTAATAGATTTCTAACCATTCATTTCTGTTTAAGTTTGCTCCCAGCATATTTAGCAGAATTATTTTCATCTTTATGACAATGGCCTTTTTAAAGCACCTAGTATTTATAGCACCACTTACAGATTGATTTCACATATGCAAAAACACCCGTGTTAAGATTACTTATCTAACAAGCCGCTAAGTGCTGTGACCAATTCCTCTGAACCTGTCAAGATGAAGCCCAATCTTGTTTGACAAATGTTTTTAAAATTATATGCATGAGGTTTCAATGACCACTTTCCAGGGCTTACATGTTGAACAGTTTCTTATACAGGGTAATAGAGCTTTTCAAATGCTAACACATAAAAATGAGTTCAGAGTAAGACCTAGGTAGCAAGATGAACCACACTGCAGATGAACCACACAGCACTTGCAGCAAACAACTTGGAAAGCAAATACATACCTAGTAAAAGTGATTTTAGACTAACATGAGGCAAGTTCCACATAGTGATCTTTCCAGAGAGCTTTAAAACAAAAGCACTCTTTCTACCAGAATGCATGCTGGGGTCAGTAGGAGAGCACGGATCAGTTTTCCTTACCTAATCTATACCCTTTATAAAGGCGACCCTTCTCACCGTCCAGAGCGGCCTGGACATCTTCTAGACGGTCATACTGCACGAACCCATAGCCATGGTACATGCTGAGGGCTGGAAAAGTTAACAGCAGGGCAAGACCAGTTACAACTAAGGGACAGTACTAACCCACACCCAGGCCATCACGTAACCCCACCAGATGAACAAGCAAAGGGGCTCTACCCAGAAACAACTATGCAAGTTTCTTGGGAAAATCAAATCTATCAGGATCAAAATGCAGAGCTTAAAGACTCTGAAATGTATTTTATAGATCAACTTCCTTCTGACAGGGCAGTGACCAAAATACAGGCCAGGAAGTGACCAAGATTTGATTAAGAGACTACGAAGTCACTTGAACAAGTATTGTAACATCACACGGCAACCCCAAAAGCTAAAACATAGCTGATATATACGCATTACGTTTCAGCTGTACTGAAGAAATCGCTTTTTCAGAGAAAATACAGGCAGAGAAAATTATCGTTAAAAGGTCACTTTTTAGGAACAACATTAGTCACTCCTCTCATCATCATCAAATAGCATTTGACAAGCATGAAATTTATATTTCTCACTGAATTCCCAGCCACAAAAAGGCATAAGATAATATACTAACCCCTGATTTTGCCATATTTTGAAAATATCTCTTCCATTTCTTCACGACTCATGTGGTCTGTGGGCAAATTGCCGACAAAAAGTCTTCTCTCTAAATCCTGAGGATTGGTGCTGTTAGTGAAGTCGCTCTGTTTGATGCTATTGCTCTTGCGTCCTCGAGCCATTTTGCTTTCGCTCCAAATCCAACTCTTCGCAAAAAAGAAAAACGGCCATGCATATAATTTCAATCCATGACATTAAAATTAAACTGGAACAAGATTAAACTTAACAGCTTTGCAGACTAGAAGCCAACTGGGTCTGCTTGACGCAAACTTCACTCCAGAGAAATCTTAATATAAGGGATACAGAGGTCTGGCAAGAACATATACCACAGCATTCTGGTTGAGCTTTTCTGTAACACTAAAAGGTAGTAAACCTAATTATTTTGCAGATAAGTTTTAATGGTTTAACTCTGAACTAAGATACAAATAAAACTAATTTTCCACTAAAACATCTTAACTTTAAGCTTTTCTATACACCCATTGTTGCCATATCTATTTCTTCAGTCCACTGGTAAGAAGTGTTGAAATTTATGCAATATTTTAATAAGCGGAAAGGAAGCACTCATCGCAACATTGCATAACAGGACCCAAATATTTAAATACAGGCTCTGAATGAGATATCAGGAAGTACCGTTTAAACACTCTTAAGTGACCACACTTGGATCACTTCATTAAATGTGAAATCTTAGCCTTCCAATACCAGAAAAGCCAGTTTCTCATTCATACCCCTATGAAACAGCATACCCTTGTCCCCATCAAGATGTCAGCTCCCACAGAAGACGGGTCCACAGCTGGGAATTTAACCACCCCCACGTAAGTGCTGTGCCACTACCTCACCTCCCCCAACATGGCAAAAGTACACTTCCTTAACCCATACTATTGCACACAAAGCTGGAGCAGTCAGCGACATATACTCCACAAACTTACCCAAAGAATTACAGCAAAAAAACCCAACAAACAAAAAATCAACATAAACTCTACCAAGCTAACAAAAACACCCCACCAAATCCCACCCAGGATTCATACTTTCTGGTTTAAAAGTCACCATTACATAAAGCTTAAAAAAATGAAAAACACCAAAACTTCCAAGACGAACTTGAACGTGAAAGTTTGAAAACCATTTAATAAATTTGTCATACTTCCTAAACATTCATCTACACAAATGCAGGATGGGAATTTTCTCTTTACAGCATGCAAGAAACCTGGAAAAAGAAAGCTGAAAAAATTGAGTATACCAACAGAAACTTCTCCTGTTAATCATGAGATGCCTACAGTCAACACCCTCCCTAACAGTAACCTATATTCATTACACCTTAAAAGTAGTCTCTAAATAAACAAGTCAAATGTTCAGAAATATAAAACAGTTTTACATAAATACTTTTACAAGACTTCACTGGCATGAAAAATACATCTACTCCAGATTTAAGATATAAAATTCTGTTGTTGGTTTTGGTGGGGGTATTTGTTTGTTTGTTTTTTAACATCAATCAACTTTACATTCATATCACTTTTCTCCTTCTTTTAGGAAACCCTGCAGGGACAGGAGGCAGAGAAAGCCTCCCAGTCTAATGAACTTTTTAAAATTAACTGAACTGCCAGAACAGGGAGGAAGGAAAAAAAAAACCCAACACCCAAACCAAAATCAAACAAAAAGTCATTTCTTCTACATTCCTTCAATCCTCCTGTAAGTTTGTCCACACACACAGTTTTACCTTCCCCACCAGAAGTACCAAATCTCATCCCATTTTTCTGTATGGAAGCACTAGATTTCTCTTCTATTCTACTATTGCAGCTCAAGTTCTCATCAGTTGAGGGGAAAGAAGTTTTCAAAATTCTCCCAAAACAATTAAGTGGCTATAAAACATGGAAAGACTCAAGTTCCCATTCAGAGCAGGGTTGGATCCAGTTGTCACAGCCTTCTCCAGCTGGGCTCTGAGCACTACCAGGGACAGGGACTCGGAGCCCCTGCAGAGCACCTGCTCAGGCAGCAGGACCTGTGCATACGGTCTCCAGACATCATGTATACACACAGCAAACAGACATCAACAAGACCCATTAACTGCTGCTGGTGGGACATTTCACTTTCAGTACAAAAAGCAGTAAGAAACTCCCTTTTCTTTTTCTTAACAGTAGAGATAGCAGGGGGTGGCTGGGGAAGAGGGTACAAGAGCTTTCCATACGAAAAAAACCAGGGAGCTATTTTTCCATTTGGTCACTTTCAAAACAAAGCAATAAATCCCAAACACTCAGATGGGCTGAATTACTAGAGAACTTTCACATAAGAGGATTTGCTGCCTCTCACCATTTTCCACTTGGTAGATTACATAGTTAAGGGCCATTTAGTAATCATAAGACCAGAATAAATGAATGTTGTCCCAGGTTTAGGCACGCTACACCAGGTGAATGACTAGTTTCCACATTAAGTCTTTTTCTACAAATGCAGCTACGCACCAGGGCAGCTTAAAGGTGCCAATCCCCTGCACAGAAACTGACTGCCAGGCCGAGCAGGTTCCTACCACAGGACAGTCCACATCAGCTCGTGTGCCAATAAATTCTCTGGAAATTAATTAAAACCATGTTTCCCTGAAAAATCTTATATTAATAGCGCTACAGCTTCAGAAAGCAAGACACAGCTGAAGCGGGATATCGAAACTAACTCAGCACAAACGAAACGTGACACAGAAGTCTGCAAGAAGTTCCTGGGCGAGGCAGAAATAATAACACCAGCCACCACGGAAAGGAACAGTGCCGAGGAGCAGTGAGCTTCCCACCCAGCACCGGCCTGCGGCTCTCAGCACCTTGGAGCCAAGCCCCACCAGGCAGCCACCCCTGCCGCGCTCCCGGGAACCAGGCCCGGGGCCAGGGGGTCCCTCAGGGCAGCGCTGGCACCCACTCGCCCTAGTCCTCTGCACCCAGGAGGGCAGGCAGAGCAGCGCTGCACACAAGGAAAACGCTGACACGGAGAACGCTTGCGCCTTCCTTCCCGGGGATCCCGCTGCTGCTGCGAGAACGCGAGCCAGGCCTCTCCAGCCCCGGCAGCCCACGGCCCTTCTCGCCCGCTCTGCCCAGCGCCTTCCTCCAGCAGCGGCGGCGAACGCCGCACGCCTGACGCTCCGCTGCCGGCCGCGCTCCTCGCACCGGCGGCGGGTGCTCCCAGGGGCTGCGCCCCCCCGCGACAGCGACACCGCCCGCTGCGCCTCCGGACCGCGGAGCAGCCGCTCTTCGGCTCCGTTAAGCCTGCGCACCGGCCGGCCCCAAGCCGCCCCCGCGGGGGAAGCGGAGGAGCTCCAGCCAGCCCGCGCTCCCCACTGCCGCTTCCCGGCCGCGCCGGGCGGTGAGGCGGAGGCGCGGCCCGCCCG